AAATTTCATGTAAACTTTATTTTTATTATTACTCACATCGTTAAGTTTCTGTAAAAGCTTATATTTCTCTTCATTTTTAAAACTATACAAAAGCAATATTCCTATTTCATTCCATTCCCAATAAATAATATTTCATTCATTCCTATTTCAGAAATTTCATCTAAACTTTGTTAATATTATCACTCACATCGTTAAGTTTCTGTAAATGTTTACATCCCTTCTTATTTCTAAACCTACACAATAGCAATATCTTATATTTATGATAATTGCTCAGTTTTTAATACCACATCATATGTATTTCATTCCTTTTTCAGAAATTTCATGCAAACTTTATTTTTATTATTACTCACATCTTTAAGTTTCTGTAAAAGTTCACATTACTTTTTATTTTTAAAACTACACAAAAGCGATATTCCTATTTCATTCCATTCCTAATAAATAATATTTCATTCATTCCAACTTCAGAAATTTCATATAAACTTTATTTTTATTATTACTCACATAGTTAAGTTGCTGTAAAACCTTACATCCCTTTTTAATTCTAAAACTCTACAATAGCAATATCTCACATTCATAACAATCGATCATGTTTTGATATAAAGTAAAATGTATTTAATTCCTATTTCAGAAATTTCATTTAAACTCTGCTTGTATTATTACTCACATCGTTAAGTTTCTGTAAAAGAGTACATCCCTTTTTATTTCTAAACCTACACAATAGCAATATCTTACATTTATAACAATCGATCATGTTTTGATATAAGGTAAAATGTATTTCATTCCTATATCAGACATTTCATTTAAACTTTGTTTGTATTATTACTCACATCGTTAGATTTCTGTAAAACCTTACATCCCCTTTTATTTCTAAAACTCCACAATAGCAATATCTTACATTCATAACAATCGATCATGTTTTATATAAAGTAAAATGTATTTCATTCATCTTTCAGAAATTTCATTTAAACTTTGTTTGTATTATTACTCACATCGTTAAGTTTCTGTAAAAGCTTACATTCCTCTTTATTTTTAAAACTACACAATAGCAATATTCCTATTTCATTCCATTCCTAATAAATAATATTTCATTCATTCCTATTTCAGAAATTTCATTTAAACTTTGTTTTTATTATCTCACTTAACTCACATCCTTAAGTTTCTGTAAAAGCGTACATCCCTTTTTATTTCTAAACCTACACAATAGCAATATCTTATATTTATGATAATTGCTCAGTTCTTAATATGACATCATATGTATTTCATTCCTCTTTCAGAAATTTCATGTAAACTTTATTTTTATTATTACTTACATCCTTAAGTTTCTGTAAAAGTTCACATTACTTTTTATTTTTAAAACTACACAAAAGCAATATTCCTTTTTCATTCCATTCCTAATAAATTATATTTCATTCATTCCTATTTCAGAAATTTCATGTAAACTTTATTTTTATTATTACTCACATCGTTAGGTTTCTGTAAAAGCTTACATCCCTTTTAATTTCTAAAACTCCACAATAGCAATATCTTACATTCATAACAATCGATCATGTTTTGATATAAGGTAAAATGTATTTCATTCCTATTTCAGAAATTTCATTTAAACTTTGTTTGTATTATTACTCACATAGTTAGGTTTCTGTAAAAGAGTACATCCCTTTTTATTTCTAAACCTACACAATAGCAATATCTTATATTTATGATAATTGCTCAGTTATTTATATGACATCATATGTATTTCATTCCTCTTTCAGAAATTTCATGTAAACTTTATTTTTATTATTACTTACATCCTTAAGTTTCTGTAAAAGTTCACAATCCTTTTTATTTTTAAAACTACACAAAAGCGATATTCCTATTTCATTCCATTCCTAATAAATAATATTTCATTCATTCCTATTTCAGAAATTTCATGAAAAATTTATTTTTATTATTACTCACATCGTTAGATTTCTATAAAACCTTACATCCCTTTTTATTTCTAAAACTCCACAATAGCAATATCTTACATTCATAACAATCGATCAAGTTTTGATATAAGGTAAAACGTATTTCATTCCTATTTCAGAAATTTCATTTAAACTTTGTTTGTATTATTACTCACATCGTTAAGTTTCTGTAAAAGAGTACATCCCTCTTTATTTCTAAACCTACACAATAGCAATATCTTATATTTATGATAATTGCTCAGTTTTTAATACCACATCATATGTATTTCATTCCTTTTTCAGAAATTTCATGCAAACTTTATTTTTATTATTACTCACGTCGTTAAGTTTCTGTAAAAGATTACATTCCTCTTTATTTTTAAAACTACACAATAGCAATATTCCTATTTCATTCCATTCCTAATAAATAATATTTCATTCATTCCTATTTCAGAAATTTCACTTAAACTTTGTTTTTATTATCTCACTTAACTCACATCGTTAAGTTTCTGTAAAAGCGTACATCCCTTTTTATTTCTAAACCTACACAATAGCAATATCTTATATTTATGATAATTGCGCAGTTCTTAATATGACATCATATGTATTTCATTCCTCTTTCACGAATTTCATGTAAACTTTATTTTTATTATTACTTACATCCTTAAGTTTCTGTGAGAGTTCACATTACTTTTTATTTTTAAAACTACACAAAAGCAATATCTTACATTTATAACAATCGATCATGTTTTGATATAAGGTAAAACGTATTTCATTCCTATTTCAGAAATTTCATTTAAACTTTGATTGTATTATTACTCACATCGTTAAGTTTCTGTAAAAGAGTACATCCCTCTTTATTTCTAAACCTACACAATAGCAATATCTTATATTTATGATAATTGCTCAGTTTTTAATACCACATCATATGTATTTCATTCCTTTTTCAGAAATTTCATGCAAACTTTATTTTTATTATTACTCACATCCTTAAGTTTCTGTAAAAGTTCACATTACTTTTTATTTTTAAAACTACACAAAAGCGATATTCCCATTTCATTCCATTCCTAATAAGTAATATTTCATTCATTCCTATTTCAGAAATTTCATGTAAACTTTATTTTTATTATTACTCACATCGTTAAGTTTCTGAAAAACCATACATCCCTTTTAGTTCTAAAACTCCACAATAGCAATATCTTACATTCATAACAATCGATCATGTTTTGATATAACGTAAAATGTATTTCTTTCCTATTTCAGAAATTTCACATAAACTCTGTTTGTATTATTACTCACATCGTTAAGTTTCTGTAAAAGTGTACATCCTTCTTTATTTCTAAACCTACACAATAGCAATATCTTATATTTATGATAATTGCTCAGTTTTTAATATCACATCATATGTATTTCATTCCTTTTTCAAAAATTTCATGCAAACTTTATTTTTATTATTACTCACATCGTTAAGTTTCTGTAAATGCTTACATCCCTTTTTATTTCTAAACCTACACAATAGCAATATCTTACATTCATAATAATCGATCAGGTTTTGATATAAGGTAAAATGAATTTCATTCCTATTTCAGAAATTTCATTTAAACTTTGTTTGTATTATTACTCACATCGTTAAGTTTCTGTAAAAGCTTACATTCCTCTTTATTTTTAAAACTACACAATAGCAATATTCCTATTTCATTCCATTCCTAATAAATAATATTTCATTCATTCCTATTTCAGAAATTTCATTTAAACTTTGTTTTAATTATCTCACTTAACTCACATCGTTAAGTTTCTGTAAAAGCGTACATCCCTTTTTATTTCTAAACCTACACAATAGCAATATCTTATATTTATGATAATTGCTCAGTTCTTAATATGACATCATATGAATTTCATTCCTCTTTCAGAAATTTCATGTAAACTTTATTTTTATTATTACTTACATCCTTAAGTTTCTGTAAAAGTTCACATTACTTTTTATTTTTAAAACTACACAAAAGCAATATTCCTTTTCCATTCCATTCCTAATAAATTATATTTCATTCATTCCTATTTCAGAAATTTCATGTAAACTTTATTTTTATTATTACTCACATCGTTAGGTTTCTGTAAAAGCTTACATCCCTTTTAATTTCTAAAACTCCACAATAGCAATATCTTACATTCATAACAATCGATGATGTTTTGATATAAGGTAAAATGTATTTCATTCCTATTTCAGAAATTTCATTTAAACTTT